AATTAAAGTATTATATTAATGTAAATCATATCAATAATAAAATTCTTTTTATTGTAATTAATTGGGATTACTTACTTATATAAAATAAACAATTATAAAATTACCTATATTATAAAATTTAATAAAATGTTACCAATTGGAATATGCTATTTGTATAATAAGTAATAATAAGAATATCCCTATTGATAACTTAAGGATAACCCGATTAGAAACTGGATGTTAATAAATTGATATCAATAAAAATAACCCTATTGATATCTTTATAACACTCTGATTAGAACCTTATTGTATCCTATCTGCGCTATTAATCGTCATCAATCAGGATCACCTAATTCTAAAAAAAATAAAAAATAGGGGACCAATCAGATCAAATTTGATAACCCAGATTTGACCTGATTGGTTTTCTATTTGTCATCGTTCGACTAATGTATGACTTAGTTAAAAAGTGTATTTCTTCGATTTGAAATCTGCAGGTAGATATGATATGTGAAAAAATATATAGTCATGGGATCTCATTTCAAAGCTATGAATGATCTAAGACCTAGATGTTAATACTTAGTAAAATATTCATACTAAAGCTAAAAGGTACTCTAGTATTAAAGCATTTGTTTTGATGAGTGCATCATATAAAGCACCCAGTCTATATCTTGAAGGAGTTAAATTCAGGTTATAAAGGAGTTTTATAAGCATGTCATTCAAATTTTTATCTCTTTACACTTCCAAGTTATTTCTATTAATATAGACAAACTATCACTAGAATAATTCATTTGAATTAGATTCTGAAGTGAGGATTGTTTATTTTTTCCAGTGTAAATAAACCCATGCCATCCTCAATGGCAGATTCCATACTAATAGGAAACCTTTTACAAATATCTAATCTACTAGCTAGGATAGATAAAGGCAGAATTAGAAATAGATAGTAAAAGTTGGCTAAGATGTCTAATTTGAATTCACCAATGCATATGATTCTAATATCTTCTAAATAATCTGAAAGTCTATCAGCATATCTAAAACCTTCTTGAATCAGCTTCTAGAATAGCTTCCTATTTTGGTCAACCCATCGGCCGGTTAGTATATTAAGACTGTTCTTTGCATTATGTTTATAGCGTAAGTATGAAATGATAATTTATTTCATTATAATATCAATTAATTTAAATACATATTTTATTATAAAATTAAAAGTGAAAAAGGGTTTTATATTCTAAAATACTTTAGCATCTTTGACTACAGCTTGCTTTACTTGTGCATTTATCAAGAAGGTTAATACTATTTGTGGAAATAAGTGCTGTGATCCCACTAGGTGCTATAAGCACAGGAAATTGTATGAAAAAAATATAGAAAAAAAACCCTACCTTATTAGTGGTTATTATAAATATACTGTTTCTACTACAGAATGTTATTCCAATCATTTGGGTAGATTTCATTCACTAAATTATCAGATGAAAAAGAAGTATGGGGTTGAGACCCTTTAACTCAGAATCCCTGAAGCTCCAATTTTTGAGTCAGATGATGAGGTTAGAACCCTTTAACCCAGAATCTATGAAGCTCTAGTTTCTGAGTCAGATGATGAGGATATGGGTTTAGGTCTATTTGATTAATTGTTAGCTTGAAATTCAGAACACTAAAAATCTCTCTGAATTATCTGTCAGAAAGTATAAAAAAACATATTATTTCATTTATATCATTAAGTCAAATATCGCTATTTTTTAATATATAAATAAAGCACATCAGGCATATTTCTAAAATGGAGCCTTCTTCAAAATTATTATATAAAAAATTGGAAGAAAGCCCATCTCAAAGTATGTATGATCTAATTCTGTAAACCCTAGTATTGTATTCATACGGCTTCACAACAGATCTCTACCTACGCGATATCAAATAAGTCTTGAATATCTTTCAAAGTTGGTATAGTATTCACATTAGAACTAGGAGTATCTTTGGTCTGTTTTTTCTTCAAAAGATTTTCATTAATAATTCATCGGGTGGAAGTTTACTATACTCATACTGAGTATCTTTCCCATTTTTCCAATAGATTTATTTTCCTGTTTGGTATAGAAGTAACTTAGGAGAATCATTATTATCGAATGGTCCAACTAGATGGTAATTTCTCCTATGCTTATTTATAGCCTTAAATTTTAACCCATACGTTACGTGTAGTGCTGAATTCAATAACCTGAGTTTCGCTCGAACTGTTCTTAATCCAATTTTTTAGCACTAAGTAATGCATCTGTATTGTTGATACTCTAGCTATTTTAGGAACTAAATCCTGGAGATATGATATTGATTCAGAAGAATCAATGCATGTTTTAACATTATTAGCTTTATATCATGCTCTATCGTTGATATCTTTAGCAAGTGTATAATTCTTTAGTAACTTTAGACAAATTCAATGCTTCTCAGCCTGGGTTATAATTGTAAGTCTATCTTCTCTGTAATCTTTGCGAGTGATATACTCAACAGCTATTTCATTTTCAGTATTAGCATTTCATAACTGCCTGTAAGCTCTGAACCATTTCATATGATTATAATTTCTGTACTTCGAGATAAAACCTTCAGTCAATGATTCAGGCAAAATCTCATAACATTTCACAATATGATGCCAGTCTAGAGAATGCATTTCTTCTAAGGTCTTTTTCGGCTAATTCTCTAAAAATTCAGTAGTTTTGTGATTGACAACAGTAGCATTAGATATATCTGATATTTCCTTCACTTTAATGATAGTGCAATTTGCTTTTACCACTTGCGATAATATATTTTCTTTAGATCTAAGACCTGATTCTATTATCAAAACTTCTATGTTAGCTTTTTGAAGGAAATCAACTATCCTCCAACCAAATAAACACTGGGAATGGAAATTTTCTAACATATAGGCCACTCACAATCAAATAGTTAGTACATACTTATTCTGAGTAATAGAATCGATATCTGGAAATATCCCTCTATTCTAAAGCTCTCGATAGAGGCATTCATATTTGGCATTTAACAATCACTGAAACAACCCCTTTTCTATAATAGGAACATTAAAAGATCTTTGCTTAATATGGCATATATAATCCTTAATATATTGCATGTGAAGTAACATCTGATTCGTTCTTGCATTTGTTTCTATGTAGCTATTAAAGAGACAAAATACCCGCTTGAACTTTGGATTAGTGCAAGATACTTCTATTTTTAGAGTACTTGTATATACAACTAGAATAATATCACTTCATGATTCTTCTACGTTACTGAAGTCATAAGCCTTTTCCATAGGATCAGATTTACCATGATATTCCTTGATCTGTAGTTCTGAAAAATCAGTTTTAAGAGCATGAACAATCCCTTGTATATCCTTTCTAAGATAGCAAATAAGTGATGCACTTGTTCAATTATCAAAAAGCAATGTAGACGTATGCTTGGCCCAGTCCCAAAGTTCAATTAACACAGCTTCTTTTTAGGAGCCAAGCAGAATGTCTTACCTTTTTAAGACTGGTAAGTATTATGAATAATAAAGAAAGGTATATTCTTACGAAGGCCATTCAATGTTAAGATCTGTTAGATCATTATCCATAACAATAATGCGTCTAGCATCTTAAATTAATTTATATAATTTTTCTATTAATTGTCCCACCAAGCGACTTTGTGCTTAAGCAATTATAGACACAATTTCATCAAGCCATAAATCATATTGACTCAGGTGACATTTGCATTTTTTATTACATTTGCATTTATTAATAATATGGTGTAAACTCTCTATTTGATATACTACCCTCTTGTGATCAGGTAGATTTATATTACCATCAATATCACAATATGACTTAAGATTAAGTCTTGTAGTAACAGCATTTGAGTAAGAGTAGCGTATGAATAATACTAGCAAATTTACAACATCAGAAATAGTAAGATATTTGAGAATGTATGTTTTTTCAGTTTCCCAAGGTGACCCTACATAAATATTACCTTGATTGGGTAATGGTCTTATATATCTTTTCATATATGTTTCTGTAGTCGTAAGGGTTTCATTATACTTGACCCATGTGGGTATTTCTACGAAGGCTTTAGGGAAGCCTGAATCTTTTATTTTGTGAGAGACTTATGAAGAATTTTTATTTTTTTGCTGAATTTTTTGGTTATATTCAAAAGTTCCTCATGTTCATCACTATTTTGCTGAAAACATTTTACAATAAACCTCTCATTGCTAACACATACATAGCCTAACTACCGCTGATCCTTGTTATGTATATGTTTGCAGAGTGGACATTCTAGTGAAGCTTTTCGGTTAAAATATACAAAGTTTTCTGAGTCCTTTTCTTCAATAGTCCAATCCCTAAGATATTTAGAATACTTTTGCAAAACTAGATCTGCGTATTTTTGTAATATATCCTGTCTATAGATATTTTTAACGGATCATTATTTTTTTCTGTACTAAGTATTTGAGGTTTCAATTTATATTCTAAGCTAGTAGGTGGTTAAACTCTAGCATGATCGAGTTCATTTCATCCGTTATCTAGTGAGAATTGAAGAATATGCTTTACACAACCTTTTTTTGCCAAACCAATAAGGCAAAGATTAAAATTATGATCAGGTAATCCTCTATCAATGTATATACTAATTCAGTGAATGCTTTGAATTCATGATGATTAATAAGGAGAGCTAGTGCATATAAAATATGATAGCTATACTTGTTAGGATCCAATGATGTAGTAATTATTAACACTTTAAGAATATCTTCCTAACCACAGTCAAGAATTCAGTACAGAGTTCTTATAAAAGAGCAACAGATTCAGATGAATACTTCTTGTCTCTTGATATCAGCTGTTTTCATATTCCCTTTCGAAATATCGATGTTAATCACAGCTCTTAAAGGTTTTTGACTGTTAATACCTTCATGAATCCCAGGTAAACTATATACTTCAGAAATGTTATCTGCAATAGAAAACTTAAGAGTTTAATCATCTTGATCGATTTTGATAACCAATTTATCTTCTACTTCATTCCGGTCATAAGTATTATATAAACTAGAGCCTTTTTCATTCGAAAAGAGAAATGAATAAATTGGGTTATATTCCAATAATCCTTTTCATCTGACATATCTCTAGATGGTGATAGGAAAATTTCTCAAATAGCATTTAGCAAGTTCTTGGAAGAAAAATTATCATTAAACTTTTCCTACCTTATAGTATATATTACATTAATCTTTCGCTTTTTTACATTTGGTGGTTGAACCAATTGAATCTTGATAGTGCTAGTTGAAATGCAAGTAGCTTCTTTATTATTTGATTCATAATTAGACTCATAGTCATTATAATCATCTGATCTTAAATCAGATCTATTATCAATACAACTGCTCGAGTCACTTAAATATTTATCAGTCAAATAGTTGAGATATCCATGTTGACAGTAGGTAAAGTTATTATATCACAATATATTTCTGAAATGTTTAATTAATTTTTTTGATGAATAAAAAGAGACGTATAGTAAGCTAGTAAGCTAATCGTAAAAGAAAGACAAGTAGATATGTATCTGAAAATGGAGCCTTCTTCATAATATATATATATAAAATTGGAAGAATGCTCCATCTTTCTAGATATGTGTTTGGCTATAGTATAGTCTTCACATAAGACTTATTATTCCTAAATATGTACCCAGGTATGATATAAAGGCTTCTTCAGAAATATTGGCACTTAGCTACCCTATCACTAGTATGAATTCAGATAAGTGACATATTCCCTTTAGCTCAAATATAACTAAAAACACGTCAAAAATACAACTTGGTATATTCTGAAAAGTGTAACCTTCTTCGGTATCTTTATATAAAATAATAGAAGAAAGTTACACTTTTTTATATATGTATTCAGGTATGGTATTAGCCTTCACATAATATAGAGGTATACCAAAAAGAGATATGAAGTTAGCACCTTTAATTCAGCTGATAATGATGAATTTTTTTCATGCATAAGCAAGTTTTTTTCAGAAATGTTTATTTATTTTTTTTATTCATCGAAAAAAGAAGCAATAGCAAACTTAGATGGCAAAACACGAAAGAAGACCAGATGAATTATTGCATCAAAATATAATCTTTTCAGATATATTATATAAAAAATTGGAAGAAGACTACACTTTCTAGATATGTGTTTAGCTATGATATAGTCTTCGCATAAGATTTATTCGCTTAATTTTGGCCAATACTATTCTACAATTTCAGCCAGAACTTTAAACGTAATAATTTGGCATCCAAGCTGAAATATAAGTGAACTGAAACTGGTAAATAAATGAAACCTCTCAGGCACTCTGCCAGTTTCCTACCAGTTCTTCAACAGTTCTATGACAATTCCATAATACCATCATAGTGCCATCATGATGCCAAACTAGGATCTAAAATCACATACCCAAAAGATCAACCAGAGTTATACCATAGAGCTGGCCAAAATTAATTGCAAATACACTGCGCCACCTATCGCCTCTTTTTTTACACTATTTCAGTATTTTAAAAAATAATCAAATATACGTAGATTTTCATAGAACTAATAACCAAACAGACACAGAGCGTCAGTATTCTCAATATGAAACCAAGCATTCAAATAAGAATAGAAAGTCAATATCAATAATGTAGAATATATAATGTAAACGAATTAGGAATAAGAAGAAAGCAGTAACCATTAGATCATAACATTACCATTAAATTAAAGCATTACTATCCATTGTTAGACTATGAAATTACTACTATAATATTTAAAACAATGATATAAATGCAAAAAAGCCACCCATATGTATGTTATGAAGTTACTATCAGATTATGAATAGTAGGTTATGAAGTTATCACCAGATCATGAAATTAAATTATGAAATCACCATCATATTATAAAGTTACCGGCAGACTATGAAGTTACTATTATGTTATGAAATTACCAGTAGACTATAAAGTTATCATTATATTATGAAGTTGTCAGCAGATTATGAAGTTATCTTCATGGCTTAACTCAAGTCACATGTGACTTTCATAATACAATTATATTATGAAAGTTATATGTGACTAATTCAAATATTTTGTCTTAAAAAAAACCAATAAAATTACCCAAATTTTCATCATAAATTAAATAAAAATTTTGTGATGATGATAGTAAAGTAGGAGAAGAAGGAATATCATTTTAAAAAAATAATTTAAAAAAAAATAATAAAGATCAATTGATTAATAAATTCATATTATTTTTTTTTGTGAAAATTAATTATATAATTTATACTATTTTTTTTTTTTTTTAGTGGGAAGTTGGTTATTATTATCATCATCATCATTGTAATTTTCTTTATTTTCTTTTTAATTATTATAATCACAACGATATTATAAGTATTTTTTAATATTTTTTTTTATTAATCAGCTTTCCATTCTAATTGAATTGTCAGATTTCTTTTTTTGAACTATTGTTATAATATAACAAAATACTTATATACCTTTTCTATTATCTTTGATAGAAGGATTATATCTTGGTTTTTGTATTTAATCTTGAAATCAACTTTTAAGAATAACATATAAAAATGAATCTCTAACTTTAAAAAATAAAAAAATAAAATAAATATTATAAATAATATAATATTTATAATTTATTTATTTTTATAAAATATTTTGATATACTCATTTTGTCTATTTGAAAAACTTTTGAATCTTCTTAGCAAAAATATATCATTCTATTGTTTTTTTAATAGGGGTTAGTAACATTATTGTTGATATTGATATTAGTGTTGACACTGATATTAGTATTAGTATTAGCATTAGCGTTAACGTTGCTTTTACTTCTTGCAAAGCTTTAATCTCCTATAAATTTTTTTATAAATATTTATTATTTAAAACATAGCAAAGAATAATTATTATCACAAAAATTACTAATAATATTTATTATATAATAGATAAAATTGCTTCTATTGTAAAGAAAAATTTGTGTAAAAAATAAAATATAATTTAAGTTTGTAAATAATTTTGTAGAAAAAATTGAGAAATAAAAAATTAAAAAGATTATATATATATATAAAAAAAAATAACAAAAATCAACAAATTTCATGATAAAAAAAAATTTCGTAATATTATTAAAAATAAATAAAATTAATTAATTATATAATAATCTATATTTAGATTTGAAAAATTACATGACATAACATGAATAAAACTAAAATTAATTTTATAGTATATGCTATGATAATTAAATTATATTTTTATTATATTGCAAAGACTGCATATCTCTATTAAAAAAATATGAATAAAAAAAGAAAAAGTATAAATAATTTATTGCAATTTTAAAAATTTATTTTATATTAATTTTATTAAAATGTCTTCAAAAATTTTTTTTATAATAACCATTCTAATTAAAAATGCTAAATTCTATTTTTCAAATCATAAATATTATTAGTATATTTTGTAACATTAGAATCTTTTTTTAACAGCACAATAAAATGTTACTAAACAATATAAAACAGAACTTAAAATAGCTATAAGTAGGGTTCCACAATTCGATTTGATATTTGAATATATGATTTGATCAAATTCAAATTAAAGAATGATTTATTTGATCAAATCCAAATCAATGTTTTATTCGATTCGATCAAATTCAAATCAAGTATTCAAATTTTTGATTTGATTCGAATCAATAGTAAAGCCATCTCCAAAGCTTCAGGAGTGATTCTTACTAAGAAAACCATAGTAAA